CCAAAGAATGACATGATCGGCTCGCCAACAGGGCCCGTCACGCAAACCTTGTGGATGTCGCCTCCAGTGATGGCGACGAGGGAGCGGGTAAAACCCTCCCCGCCATCGACCAGAGGTACTTTGCGGACCTCGGCAGTGGGCTCAACTGCCAATATTCCTGCTTCGATGCAATTGGCAGCAGCATCTGGCTCTAGGCTCCCTTTGAAGCCGGAGGGACAGACAAGAACTCTCATGTTTGGCGCGGGGGGTACGCGGAGCTGTGTCATGGTGAGGAGGTGGGTATGGGAAAGGTGAAGCTGGTTTAGAACCAGCAAGAGGGTATACAGAAAAAGCTATAGCGAGTGTGATAGAGGTGTCGATATAGCGAGCGGGATGGGATCAAATCATGCAAGGGACAATTTGAAGACAGCGAATGACGAATAGAGCGAATGTAGTTGATACTCAGCGAGTGTATGTGAATTGAGTTGATGTACTATGATCAACAGCCATTAGAAGTTTGGACGAGGAGGAGCTTATTATACTTTGTTTCTCAAGTCCTACGAGCTTGAGATTCGGCTGGCATTTCACATCAGGGTATCTCTGTCCCGGTTCTCTTTCCCGGGCTTGGATGCCAAACTTGCTCGATGGGCTAATTTTACGCTGCCTGAGTGGCTTAGAGCTGTGACAGGATCTTGGAGGGGGCGGTTGGAGGCCCAGCCATCAAGCTCACGTTTCTGAGAACACTAGCCTCTGGGTTGCCTCATGGCAAAGAACCATCACGGTCCCTTCTGCCGCGCCCTACTCAGCAACTAACCGCAATAAACCTTCAGTGGGTGCTAATGGTGCCTGAACTAGATGCATGGTGTCTACGAAACAGACCCAATTCTTGGCAAGGATCACGCGACCTATGTACAACTAGGGAAATGTCACCGACACTTCATGCGGCATCGGGCGAATTAGGGTTCCACGTCATGGAGGAGGTTCTTCCCATTCTCAGCCCTGTGTAGACCAACGTCTCGCTGCGGAAACTCCATGGAAAAGCCTGCTCAGCCTCCTTGGGTTGCGTCTTCGCCAAGATGGTGGCTTGCAGGTATTTCGTGTTTCAGCCAGAAGCTGGCAGAAGACATCACAAGAAAGAATTTAAGCTTGTTTTTGGTGTGTGTGGGGGTGGGTCAACGAGCACTCTCCTCCCTCTGGCTTGGTCTGAGGTGAAAGTACTTGCCATGGGCCAGGGACAGGGACCCTGACATGCCAGATAGCATGAATGGTGACGGTGTGTTAAGTCAGGTTAGACTCTTTACCGAGAAGGGACAAGGCAGATGAAGTCGACGGCAGCTGAATAAGGTCCGACGCGTGTCCTTCTCAGCCTCTCCTTGGCAGCTGCTCCAATGAGTGCCGTCCACGACAGCATCCATGCTTATTTTTAACCACATAGGACCTTGAGCTAGGTAATTCTTATCAGACGGCACGGGAGTTGTGTGGGAGGGAATATGTGCGGTAGCCCTGTACCGATATGCGGGTACTGCATCGTTGATCACTACACAGCCACACTCATGACGCCAAATCAACGACGCTATCCTGCTATCAAGACGAATAAGGTCTCATAAAATTCTGGAGGCTAGGAAGAGCCTTGTTTGACAGTCCCTTTTGGGTGAGGATTGTCGACTATCATCCCTGCTTCCACCACAACCCGATGGCCCCCACAACACGAATCTCCTGATGGGTCCGTTGGAGGCCGCAAAGATTGAAAACCTTGAATTCTTTTGTTTCAGCCACTTGGCAAGCTGTTAGTGAATTTGTTGCCAAGAAGTCTTGAGGCTGGGCGGGCGCCCACCGCCGTCATTTCTCGTGTTCAGTTTGAGTTATGCCCTTGTGCCGAATCTAAGCCCTGGGTGCGTACGAATCATTGCCTTGGGATGACTTTCATCATTTCAAAGTGCTTTTTGCAAGCCACAGGATATCCACATCCCAAGCCTAATAAGATCTTGCCGTAGAATAGATGATCATCGCTCCCAGATGCCATTCTCTCGTTGTCGCGTGTCCACATGCTATTCTGTTCGCGTGAAGTCTCGTCACTCGCTTGGTTTTTTTGTCAATCGCTCCAAATATCGACGGTATTATTCCCCTTTGTTCCTCCAAAATGCCGCCAAGTCGTTCGCTATCAGTAGCCACGTCGAAGTCATCACTTTGGCGCTACTGGAATATAAACACCACTGGTGATTATGAACGATCGTTACATAGATTCCCTTGGCTATCGAATGATACTGGGCAAGGGATTAGAGAGAATACTTATGAAGCTCCCAGGGAGCCTCCTTCGTTAGAGTCACTCTACCAAGACTCGTGGCCACTACGCCCCGAGCCTTGCCAGGACTCAGGTAATGTCCGGGAGCTCCGCGTAGCGGATCTCGAAACGGACTCCCTTCAGCAGCCACCAGAACACTGCATCGAGGTTTCTTCCCTAGATGGCTATGACGCTGAATCTGCCCGAGCATTCAACGGCGACTATCAAGGTGATTCAGGCGATGAAGATGGTTCTGAGCCGCCGGAGGATCCTAATTTGGTAAGTGAGCGTCATCACCATGCAGTAATTTCAGAAGCCCCAGTGTATCGTGAAACATCTACACCCGGTTGATCATGCTCACATCTTTCATTCTAGGTAACTTGGTGCGGTAAGGATGACCCAGACAATCCACACAACTGGCCGCGGCACAAGAAATGGTCCTCGACACTCCTGGTATCCTGTTTTACCTTCATCTCCCCTGTCTCATCCACCATGCTAGCGCCTGCTCTTCCAGCGCTGGCCGATGAGTTCAACACCTCCTCCGGGATCGAGACATACCTTATCATGTCTATATTCCTGCTGGCATATGCGGTCGGCCCCTTTATATTGGCACCCCTGTCGGAGATGTACGGCCGCGTGGTAGTTCTCCAAGGCGCCAATATGATATTTCTGATCTTCAATACCGTTTGCGGATTTTCTCAGACCAAGGCCCAGATTCTCGCCTTCCGTTTTCTCAGCGGATTAGGAGGGGCCGCACCACAGGCTGTAGGTTTTTCGCTCTCTGTCATTTGGCATTTACTCCGGTCGATCCAGTATTGATGTTAATTATTTCTAGCTGGGAGGTGGTGTGCTTAGTGATTGCTGGAGAGCAGAGGAGCGAGGAAGCGCCACTGCTGTGTACAGCTTGGCGCCCTTCCTTGGCCCGGCCATTGGTCCTATCGGTAAGGTTCCTCCTTCATCAGTCTTCTCTATTTTATTGGAAACTGACCGTTACAGCTGGTGGGTACCTAGTTCAGTATATGAACTGGCGTTGGATCTTTTGGGTCGTCTCCATTGCCGATGCCGTAGTTCAGATCCTTGCCTTTCTCTTTTTGCCAGAGACTTACCCACCCAAGATTCTCGCCACCAGGGCGAAGAAGCTACGAAAAAGCTCTGGCAACAAAGCTCTACATACAGAATACGATCGCCCTGACCGAAGCTTCATCAAGATTCTTCTGAATAATCTCGAACGTCCATTTGTGATGCTGTTCACCCAGCCAACCATCCAGCTCACTGGGCTCTATCGAGCCTACTTGTATGGGCTGATGTATCTTGTGTAAGTCTGCCATTCTAATCTAAAGCTACGAACACGAACGCAGGACTCACACATATACAGTCTTGCTTCATTTCCCATGGTCTGGGAGGAAAAGTACGACCAAGAACCAGGTCGAGCTAGTCTCAACTATTTATCATTGGGCGTAGGCTTTGTCATTGGATTGCAGATATCTGGTCCGATGATTGACAAGGTATGCAAAGTCTGGAAATCTTGTATTTTCGCTTGAACAGGCAGCTAATCATGTTTGGCTCTGAATTAGGTCTACAAGAAGCTCAAGGTTCGCTATAACCACCCTGGCCGCCCCGAGTTTCGCGTTCCCCTTATGTTTCCCACGGCTATCATTGCACCCGGGGGCCTTCTCTTGTATGGCATTTCGGCACACTACAAAACACACTGGATTATCCCCAATATTGGAGCGGCCATATTTGCCGGAGGATTGATTCTTTCGTTCCAATGTGCCCAGACGTACGTCGTCGACTCGTACGAACGTTACGCCGCCAGTGCTACGGGCGCTGCTGCCTTCATTCGCACTATGGCAGGTTTCAGTTTTCCTCTCTTTGCACCAGGGCTCTACAAGGCCGTGGGAGTGGCTGTCGGGAACGGCATACTGGCGGGTATCGCTGCTGTCATCTGTTTAGCTGCACCGGCAATTATGTGGAAGTATGGTGAAAGGATTCGAGCTCGAAGCCAATACTGTGCTGGGTGAGTAGCATCATACTGACCAAGCAAGTATAAGAGAATGAGTTGCGACATGGTTCAACGACGAATCTGATTAACGACTGGGTACAATAGCAAACCTGACGGATGATTTCTTCCCTGCATGTACTCACATTCTGTCTTTCTGGGTTTTCTTTCCTTTCCTTTGTTTTTATGGCGGCAGTGTCCTTAAGACCTCTGGATGTGAGAGCCCAATGTTTTGTACTTTTATTCCAATCATGGAATAATTGGTTCATCTACGTCATGATTTTACGAAATAACTCGACCTTCTGATGTGATTCTCTTGTCTGAATCACTTTTCATTTGTTTCTTCGATAAATAGACTATTTTCTTAACCTCGTGGTGTTATAGACCATTGATATTGATGACATACAGCTATTTGAGCTACGGTACTCCACGGAATGCATAATAGGGATCTGCCCTGAAGCGAACCCTCTGTTCAGCGTGATGTAGATTTGACAGGGCTTACCAATGAGATATCTAAGGTCGAGATTATTTTCTGTCTGCACAAGCTACAAAGGTGACTACTAAGTATCATTTTAGCAGCTTCTTCCCCTGGCACATACACCTCTCAAAATCAGTATGAGTACTTCATGACACTTTAGTTTTGGCCTCGCTGAGGTTATTATTCACGTGCTAGTTTCTTCTGAAAACAAGTTGTGAGAAACACCATCAACTGTCCAAAGTCTACCACTAGATTGAATAGCCTTAATCATCTGAAACATCATGGAACGCGTTCCATTCCCATTTCGTCACGATAGGCGGGTTGCATGTGACCTGTACTCCAAGGTGTTGAAACTCGTCTTGGAGTCGCCGTATTCTGTCCCACGGATACACTGGATCGATGAAGGTTGCTGGGATATTTTGTTCGCAGATGATCTCGAACTGCGGGAGGAAAAGGTTTCTATCGAGTGCGCCCCGAATAAGCTGCCGTATCCATGTTTCATCGTCATATTTGAACCGGCCGTATCTATGTCGATACTTGTCGCGACGCGCATCATACATGAGCCTTTTGAGGTTCGGGGCAGCGACCAAATCTACGTCAGTCGCTTGGAATGTCGGATCGGGATCTCCGAAATGCCACCTCGAGACTGTGAGCTCTTCAAGAGCCATGAAGTCGGATGTATCCAGTGTATCTTCGATGGGGACTCTGGCCCCCATGCAGCATATCTTTATGATCTTGAGGGTTTCTTTATGCTTGCGAAGCATTTGTAGTATCTCAGGTAGAGCCAGTTGTCTGTTATCACGTTCTGAGCGTTCAAACTCATCGAAGACAAAAGTGGTCAATGTTGAGGGCCAGTTGATGAGAAAGTTCAAGTGGGATGCTTTTGCTTTAAAGTCAATGAGAAAAAGTTGGTCGCAAGCCGCCTTCTAGTAGCTTTGCGGTTAGTCCCATCTGCCACAAGTCGTTACGTTTCGCTCCGAATGGACTCATACATACGTTTATTTCTGGTCTTTGCAAGGTCTCATGTTCGTCAGAAGCGCCGGAGAGGCGGAGTGTTTGCAGAGCCCCGAACTCGACTTGGTTGACCAACGGGAATATCTCAAGATCGTTTATATAACCAGTGAGCTCCAGGTGGGCTAGTTTGGTCATATGTTGGGCGGCTTGTCGAAGAACAAGCCACGATCGATCACCAAGAATGGCCGAGAGAGGCCCATGGACTTCTAGGGTATTGACATTGACCAGGAGCGGGACTAGGTTATTTGCGAAGTAGGTGAGGGCCTCGGCTGAGTCGTCGCTTGGATATCCCGGGTAGATGGACAGGTTTCGACAGTATCCTGGAATCACCGGGTTCGTCCGCAAAATATGGTGAAGGTAAGTTACGGAGGCAGTTGTAGGCGACTTTCTCCAGCCATCAACTCGCGGGCCGAGGCGGATAGTCTGGTAATTGAATTTTAAACAGTTGCTGTAGAATCGCCTGCACACGCGGGATAGCCTCCGGCAGATTTTGAGATCGTAGGTTGCGAATGCAGATCTTGCGGCCAAATCCCAGTTGGGAAGCTGAACAGCATGCCGGAGGATTTCGCTAAGCAGTTCATCTGGGAGGCCCAATATCGGGGGTTGTTGAGGAGTGCTCATGCTGGTAGCTGGACGTAAGACGAAAGACGTAATCAAAAGCAAGCTGCTGAGCGAAATACGAGTCTGGTTGCGGGGAAGGTCGATGATTTAAATACTTATTCTCACTCTCGGATCGACGGCAACCGACATGGATGCCCCACAGAGGAGAGAAGCGAGTCTCTGGCAGGTGAAACTTGCTGAAGCACTTCAATCCTGCTCCAGCTAGGTATAGCCCCTGTTATAGCTAGCTTCTGGGAATAAGTAGGCCCTGTGAATTCTTTATCTTACGCTAGTCATCATTTTATGCCCGGGTTGGATTGTTGGAGGCAGTTTCACGTACCCAAACGGAGGTAGCATCATCTCACTCTCCTTCGACAGGGGTAGGGTGGAATCACGGCGTGGATTTAGATATACGATGGATGTGTGCTGGAAGCTGGGACATCCTTGATGATAGAAAGGTAGAATCGAAGCGTAGCAAAAATCTGGATATAAAAATGCTCCATCAAGCTGGTAAATCTGGTGCCTGCCCTACCACTGCTACTATATAACATGTACAACGAAAACATCGCGAGCTCGTCACATCCTAGACACGAGCAAGCACCGTGTTGAAATTATCCTCCTCTTGATCATCATCGTGAGCAGGATCTCTGGAGGTATATCCCCATGCTGCCCAATTAGCGCTCCCCCCCGCGTAATCAAAGTAGCACCATCCTCCTAACCTTGCCTCACATTGGACCCCGCGCTCCCGCAAAGCCAACATCAGTCTTCCACCAGGTACCTTCAAATCCGGTCGCGTCTCCGGCCTCACGCCGACTGCAAAGCCGTATAAATAAACCCATTTCAGAGCAGGAAACAGGTTCCTGTCCGTAATTAGGTCCTGCACCAAAGCAACCAGCGCGTGGTTGACGTGGCCTGCCCTATTCAACTTGACATAATCTTCTGGGCCCATAGCATCGCCTTCCGTATACTCTGCACCAGTTTGCTGATCAAGCACCAGGACCTCTAAGCTCTCACGAGAACCTAGCAGTAAGCGTCTCCAGGCAGTAAAAGTGGCTTCTTCGGCACGAGTCGACCAAGAGTATTTCATCTGATACTCACCATTTAACTCGTCCTCTTCGAAACCACCATCTTCGGAGCCGGTATCTCCATTATTGTGGGGATCCCTCGCCGGTGAACAAAGATAGAGATGCTTCAATTTGGGTAGATCAAGCTCTACACCGTCAGGCAAGAACCCGCCCATTGGTCGAGGAATCAGCATCCCTTCGTCTCCGTTTAAGCTGCCGTAGTCAGCCGTCCCATTCCACATTGTCCCGATCGCCTCCTCCGGCAGGGGGTCGTATCTGCCCCATTCACCCTCGCCAGGGCAGATAGGCCTGTCCAGCAAGCCAATCTCCAGGCGCTCTAGAGTAGAGCTGGACTTCATTATCCACTTGACGATGTTTCGTGGGATATGCCCAAACAGCTTTGCGAACCGAAGTCTCGGGAGGCTTGGCCACGTAATGTCATGCTCGGGGATCTCTTCAAAATCTGCATTTGGATCCGTTCCGTGGAGCTCAAGCGTCTCGAGATTTTGGAAGAAGGACAGAATAATGCCGCATAGTGGCCCTTCGGGATTCACAACGGTGCAGAGGTGCGTAACGCGGTAGCAGGCCACTTGAAGCCGGGCAGGATTGTTGCTGTAGCTTTCCCGTAACATCTTGAAGAATTTCTCTCCCCTTAGCTGACACTGGTAGGAGTTATCTGTGCTTGCCATGATTGGTTTGGGGTGTCGCTTGGTCGGTGGAATGAAATGCGGCGGCACATCGAGATCCCACGTGTGGTGATAATCGCTCTTGTGAAACTCAAGAAAGGACCAAAGCTCAGGCTCAGCGGCACTCATCAGGTGACGACATGTCAAACTCAGTCGGCAGAGGTCGCTGTCGCAGAGGGTTTTCAACACGCGTGAAAGTACTTCATTGGGAAGCGTTGTAAGAGACATTGCAAACTGAATTGGCACAGATGGAAGATGATTATGTGAGACTGTCCAGTCGTGAAGGTATCTAGAACCTTTGGAGCGTTTCGTTTCTATGAATTGGGGTTTTTGAGAGCTGAGATACACACAATTTGTAGCCACCGCTCAATCGTGAACTTTTTAACGGCTCATTTATTAACGCGTCGCCAAGATGAATCCTCCTGCTTGAAATGTGGACCATCTTTAGGCAAAAAGGCACCCTTGTCCTCAATTCCAAGAGCCAGCGAGCCCTTGCGCAGATGGGATTCAGCTTGCAGGGTCGTTGTATCAAATAGATTCGATAGAGGTCAATATTTGGCATGAATTAATAAGATGGGTTCATTACAATAAATTGTACAAATAATAAAGCTATCGAAGTGAATGCATAAGTAAACAAAGGAAATAAGGTATCTAATAAGCTCTAGGATTATTTTTGAATCAACCAGCCAGTGGTCCGTAGGTCGTAACGTTCGTCGCATCGTGAATGCATATATAAAACAAAGGAAAGAAAGGTAAGAATCGCATCCAGTGCGGTGTGTAACGGGCCAGCCTCATTAATGTATCGTCATCCGGCGGTTCCCTTCCTCCAAACTCGCGGGGTCACTGCTCCCGCTGGCGTTGCTCGCTCTACGAGCCCCGAACTGCTCCTTCAGCCCCTGGCCAAAGTTGAGAGTGCATATCAAAGCGTTGAAAAAGGTCGAGATGATGAGGCTGATGGCGACAATGGCAAACGTGGCCAGGGGCATCTTGACGGCACGGTAATAAAACTGCCAGTCATCTGAGAAAAGCCTTGCCAGTTTGAAGATGAAGTAGATCAATGCCCCGAGATAAAGAAACATGGTCGATATCATGCCCCATTTCTTTTCTTTGTGCGTAGAATATCCAGCAGCGAAGAGAATGGCAATCGTGACGGGGATCGCGGCGATGGTGAGGCCAAACTCGGGATCCCACTTCTTCGTGACGACGCCGACGAGCTGGATCAGGAATCCGACCACGAAGAAGAAGTCGAACTTCAACAAGGTGATGTAGACCTGGTAGTAGACGTAGCGCTGCTTCATCGGGTAGTCGGCGCCGACCAGCTTGAGGATCGTCCAGGCAAACTCTTGATAGACCTTCCAAGTGCAGAATCCCATAAAGATCGTGGCCAATGCCATGATGCAGGGGATGGCAATGAGGAACGCTTGCGTATCGCTCAACAATGAGTTTGCGGTTTGCCCCTGTCTAAGGGCGCCCGAGCTCTCCATGACCTGCAATGACTCCTTGATCTGTTCTGCTTGGATGCTGGTGTAAACCGCCAGGACCAAGTTTGAGATGCACACGCCGATGACCTGGATGGTATTCTGGGCTATCAGGGCATCCCATACCACGACATTTTCGTAGCAGAAGATGAACACGAAGAGCGGCAAGAAAATGGGTATGACTTCGATTTGTTTCTCGAAATTGGACTGGAACTGAGGGTTCAGACTCCACTGGAACCGCACGTAGATGTAGCTGCATTAGAATGGATTGTCAGCGGTGTTCATTTGCCATAATACTCGTAGGTAGTGTCCTTACATTTCAAAAGCCAGACAGATGGTCGCTTGGACCAGCGCGACGGCAGCGAAAATAATGGACCATCTCCGCCGTATTAATCCATCCCATTCCGGATGGGATGTTGCTGGAAGCTGCAGAGATGGCTTCTCGATTGAGTTCTCGCTCCGGCCACCAATGCTGCTGGGAGAAAAGGTGGGATACATTTTGGAGCTTGAAACAATCGTGAAGCACGTTTCGCTTGGGGGTGGCCCCCGTGTAGTATATGAAGGATTCGGCCGTGGCTAGTCGTCCCGTGTCAACGAACGCGGCGGAGATCGAGTGGCGATGTCGAGGGTCAAGGGTCGGGATGCTTGTATAGCGGTCGGACGGGAAGGTTCTCAAGGGCCAGCCGAGAGGAAAGATGAAACAATTAACATTACTCGGGCCTGCCTGCAGACTTGACAGAAAGCAGACGGGACGAAATGAGAGTGAAGTGCGTGAATATAACGCTTTTCGCAGTAGGGCCAGGGGCCAGGTCAGACGCTGGCCATGATGACCAACAAGCAGTTTTGTTGGTTGATTTAGCGGCTCAAAGCGCGGTTTTACACACCGCGCGTCAATTCAGAGGCACAATTTGCAAAGTCCTACCAAGATAGCGCGCTTAGTATTGGTTCAGGCCCCAAAGTCTCTGGCAGGGACGGAGTGGCAACGGGCCGCCCAAGGCCTGAGCAGGGATCCGGTTTGCCAGCAACGAACTGACAGGCTCATTTTATTAGCCCTGCTGACGTGGGACCACCAACAGAATAAGCCAAAGACGTGGCAATCCCGTCAACAAGAGCGTTGCGAGTTTGCGAGCGTTCTATCTCCATGGCCCAAGAAAGCAGCTGGAAATAACCACCAGGAGCTGCCCAGGTCGTGATTCACCATGGTCATGAAGTTTATTATTTCTTCTCGTCTCCCTTTCCATCCTCTGCATCAAGACCATCGACTGGTAGCGTGTCGAACGCGTGAGCCATGTCCGTTCCCCTTCGGTGCTCCGGTGGGACGAAAACACTAAAATAGGCACACTCACACAAACAGGGAAACATAACCCACGAACTGCCATGGGAGGTCCACAATCTCAATCTACGACCACGTGGAATTCCCTGACCGTCCAAACCACAAGGGCTGTTTCCCAGCCCAGCCGGCCCTTGGTGGTTGATCACAGCTGTCATGGCAACATAATCCCGAGAATCTCAATCCCAATTCTGATAACGAAATGATATTGACGAGGGTGGAAACTGACCCCCTTCACTCCATGTCCACTTGGCGACTTGCTAATTAGCATGTTGTGTACCCGCGCCAAATATGATGGACAGGGTGCCTAAATATAAGGGGCGCCGTTCTCGACTTGCCAGTGAGGGCCACCAGACCGGCCACCTATGTAATCGGTATTAGTGTAGAAAGGGGAAGATAGAATTATGTTTCCATTAGTGTAGTAGGGCCTATTTCCGCTATCACAGTCCCGGGTAGCCGATATAATTAAAGGTAGGTTAGTCAACGAGAGAGTGGTCGGTATATTGCAGAACTGTTGGTCCTCTCAATTGTCAGCAGCGCATGAGGAGTATGACTGTAACAATGCAATTCAATTCCCTCTAAGCCTCCTACCTCCCGCCAGTGCTTCTCCCTCCCATTGTCCGTTCTCGCGCCCTCCTCCATCATTTCCATCCAGAACTCACGAGCTGCCCCAGCCTGCCAATTCCATCCTGCTCTTCCAAAACACAAATCTCCCATTCGATACAGGCGTCCAGATTCTCCAGCTTTCATCCGTCATCATGGCGGCTTACTGGGTGGTCGGTCTCTCACTTGCTGCATCCATCGCCATCATCAGGTGGTGGCTCCTACCCAAGCCCTACCCGTATATCCCATACAACAAACAGTCGGCCAGTCGTATCACCGGAGATATTCCTGACTTGGTCCCTGTCATGAAGGAATGCAACCAAGTCTCGCACTCCATGTTCACCATTACCACCCGCAAACTCGGTACTCCAATTGCCCAACTGCTCTTTCCCAATATCCGCAGACCTTTCGTCATCCTTGAAGACCCAAGAGAAATCGAAGACATTCTCCTCCGCCGGGGAAAAGAATTCGACCGAGCGGCTACGCCTTCTGCCATCTTTCAACCCATGTTCCCGCAAGCCACAGTCGCTCAGTTTACCACGCCCAAGCTCAAGGCCCAGAAACGTCTCTGGGCTGATGTTACCAGCGCCGAGTTCCTGCACAAGGCCGCGGCGCCAAACATCTACAAGGCTACCATTGAGCTGCTGGAATATTGGCGGCTCAAAGCTGCGACTGTTTACAAGGACCAAGCCTTCAATGTTCATGTTGATTTTCAACGTGCAACTTTGGACGCCATATGGGTGGCTACCATGGGCGAGGAACCTGGATTGATCAGGTATGAAATGAACAAGCTGCAATACCAACTCGAGGGCAAGTCACAGGAGGAGTTGGACAAACTCCCGCTCCCCAAGGGCATGTTTCTGAGAGATGAAGTAAGATATATTGGCGACGCTGTTGAGCGAAACACAAACTCTCCCCTGCCAAAATGGGCAGCCAAGCTGGAAACATTCAGACCGCGGTACCGCCAATTCCGAGCCGTCGTTACAAAGGAACTAACGCAGGTCATGACGACAGCTATTGATCGCTTTGAGCGGTTGGAGCTTCATGCCCTCGAGGCCGATGAGTCTGACACATGCATGATGGACTTTGTCCTGAGGCGCAAGGTGATTGAGGCTAGGAAAGCACAAAAGCCCATGGCCGATCTGACCAAAGATCAAGAGTTGCTTGATGAGATGTTTGTCATGTTGGTTGGCGTAAGTCTTTTGCCGTGAACCTTTGCTCAAGGGTATATATTGACGACCAGATGCGTTCTAGGGTCACGACTCAACTGCCAATGTGCTGGCGTGGTTTACGAAATTTATGGAGGCATATCCTGTCGTCCAGAATGAGCTTCGGTTACAACTTAGAACGGCGTTTCCCGGTCCTCATCTTCCTTCGGTACAGGAGATTCTTACTACTAGTATACCGTACTTGGACGGCGTATGTGAGGAGGGTTTCCGCTTGGCTGGAGTGGCCAAGGCAAACTTTCGTCAAGCCACTGTCGATACCCAGATCCTCGGCTATCCTATTCCCAAAGGCACGGAGATCTTCCTCAACTTTCACATGGATACCACACCTGCACCTGTGGATGATTCAAAACGCACAGCTAGCTACAAAACTGCCACTGCCAAGCATGGTGATCTTCTTCAAGGTAACGCAGGGCGGGATCTGAATCGGTTCGAGCCTCGAAGATGGTTAGCTTTGGATCCGAAAACAGGCAACGAGACCTTTAATCCCAATGCATTGCCAGCCCTAGCATTTGGTGGTGGCATTCGGGGCTGCTCCGGTATGTAATCTTGCCTACCGTTTACATGCATCCTTTTCTTCTTGTCTTGTTCTTTTCTTCCCTCGACTATGACTTTGACACACCCACTCCTGGATTTATTTTTATGTGCCGTTGTTCTATTATTAACAATACGATTACTACTTTTTAGGACGCAAGCTTGCCCAGATGGAGTTCCGCCTTATTGTCACGCTGTTGATACTGAGGTTGGAATTTCTCGAATTACCTGAGGAATACAAATCGATGGACGCTATTGAACGGGTGTTCAGGGCTCCCAGTAAGCCTTATGCTAAGCTGAAGGTTTTATAGTTTCTAGAGCAGGCACGATTTCTACTCATAGTTAGACAGAGTATATTCCCAATTGCAGCCAGGAGGTTCATAACGTCGTCACTTATGCTGCGTAGTTCATTTAGCAAGCTCAATGCTGGGCTTGGGGAAATTAGCATGGCACGGGATAGGCGATGTTGATGAGGCCATCGGTGTCGGCCGTTCCAATAATCTTCGAATCCAACTAACGCGCCTCGTCTACCAGAGTCCAAACTAACAATAATGCGTCTCCCAAGATATCGCCGTAAGGTCGCGACGCGGCAGCCAAGGCAAGTGATTGAACTCACCGTAATGCTGAATGCTGACGCATATACATGTCTTGGCTCATTATACCATGTACATAGCAGAGACCAACGACGTAAAATGCATCGCTGACGGCCTCGCTCCCATAGAACACATTGCCAGCGTCCCTAATTAATTACGAACGGAGTTGAGTAGCCATTAAATATGGCCACCACATCTCCAACTTTGCACTCTCCGGTACATAGGCCCAAATATCCTCCCGTGGTAGTAACAAGTTTTTGGTTTGAAAATGAACCACACCGATAGCTGTGAACTCGTAGATCAAGCCACCCTTCCCGGCTCACGGTCTCAACACATCTGCTAGTGAGGGCATTTTGGAATACCTCACCATTGTCATCAAGGCAAACACGACGATACACTCGCCAAGCCTCAAGAATTTCATGATTTATCGTAGGGATCATTCTCGTCAGGGAACTGCCTGACGCTCGAAAACAGGCGACTCTGTTTGCGATCCGGGTGTTTGATGGCCAATGTGAGAAAAACTTTCTAGGGCAATCCACTTCCATCTACACCTCGGCGCGGAACCGTGAGTGTGGCACATGTGCGTCCGCATTATCTTGACAACTTCGGTATAATGAGTGCGGCAGCTATTTTTGGGCCGGCTGCTTATTCTAAATTGCTTGTTGATCGTGTCAAAGTGGGAACCTGTAGGTGAGTGAAACAGAAAAGCCATCATGAAATAAACAAAAAGCGATGAACTTAATCATAACATGAGGTAATTAATAGCACATGACCCGAATGTGACAAAGTTCATCATTTTGAGAAAGTCTCTGAAACTTTGCCCCTGAAGGTTCGCAATAAAGAAATCAGGGTAGCACTGCAGGGTAGTGAAGCTCGAAGTTATAAACCAAAGAAAATTTCTTCATGTATGCAAGCTTTTGAGTCATGGGTAGAGTTTTACAATCAAAAGGAGTGCAATTACTACTCCAACACAGATAGAATGTTCAGTGTAATGCCTAGTTTCCTTACCTATTCTAAAACGAATGTGAGTTTTACTAATTAATAAATACTTCATATGATCAAGTCATGTTTCATATTGTACAAAGACATTGTTACTCTTCATCGTGTAAGGACGTCTATTCACCACTTGGTGAGACGTGGAGAGACTTCACGAGGAGAATCACAACCTACAGTGTTTTTCTTTAGTTTATCAACGCCACTCAGGGTCTTTGGAGGCCCATCATATTCACACTCTTACACAGCATATAATAATACAGCTCGTATTCATTGTGTTGAGTTGTCGGGCTCTGGCAGCTTCCATTGCTGTTACACTTTGTTCTCTTTCTCTTACGTACGTACAATAATACAGCAGAGCCACAGCGCTGAACGTTCGTTTGTATGCCGACATTTTTTGGGCAACATCGTATATAATCGTCTTTTTAGCCGTAAGTGAATAGGCGTCCTTTGCGCTCTTATAGGGATATGCCGAAGTTCAACAATCACACACTCACACACAAATGTCCAAGACGCCTGTGAATCATGATTTGTTCCAGCACATCTTCCTTTGGCTTTTCACATCCAATCAATGTGTTTCAACATGTTTCAGCGTATAGTCACTCTAAAGAGAAAAAACATCTTATCATGCATGTAGACTTAATCATTCTTGTCTAAATGACAAAGCCCCAGGCTGAATTTTAACAGACCAACCTTTCAACCTTTAGTATAAATAAGAGAGACCATCCTTGCCAAAATTTACATTACTCAAACAATTCTACTCTCACTGAAAAATCTTACCAACAACAAGCTCAAACTTCAAGCCTGCGCTAGCAGAATCAACATTTCAACCATCGTTACTACTAAATCCTTTTCTCAAGATGACTGATGACGAGCTGAGAACCGCATTGCAGCAGCGTATCGACGAATACAAGGAATCTTCAGCGATGGAGAAACAAGTCAGAGCGAAAAGAGAGAAGCTGTTGAAGAAGAGGGATGGCTTAGGTCACGATAAGCTGAAGAGGAGGGGTGAGATCAATGCGGAATTGAAGCCGCTCACAGAGCAAAGACAAGCGCTAGGCCGAAAGTGCATTGACCTACTTGCTGAACAAAAGCGCCTGCTTGACCTGTTGAAGGGTTGAAGCGGTCGTGAAAACAGTTGCGGATTTTCTTTTTCTACAGAGATAGAGGGAGCGAGATACAATCATAGCAAGTCGTACTGCATCTTGAGCTACTATTATGGATGTTTTCTATGACTTATTACGGCATTTAGATTAAATGCCGATGATCAATTAATAAAATCTCGTTTTCTTTCAAAAGCTCAACTTGGGGCTCTATTTAAATGACAAACCTACGTGAATAATTTACAATGCCTGTGATGAGAAGAAGGCTTTCAAAGTCATCAATAAAAATACCAGAAGTGCTGACATAGTGGGCTAAATTTCGTATATTACAAATAACCCATGCCCTACGGGAATTCAGTCACCAGTTTCTCAAGTTAAGAAATGCTTAAAACAGAAAGTAATAGTTCTTATTTAGAGATATCAGCAATTAGCGGAATACACCTAAAAATGAAGTCTTTCAAAGGCAACAGAAAAAGGTTATGAGTCCAAAAATAGAGGCACGCCGATTAAAAGGGAAGGATGCATGGGATCGCGTGTGCTCTAATGGGTTTAGTCGTATGTGTCAGGCTGTAACTCAAATATGTCTGACAAGGGAAAGGTTTATTGTAGAAGTAGTGGTCTAATCCCCGAAAAGGCTTTGTAGGATACTTCTGTTCCCGCTTGTTCCAAGTTGTATGTTACGAAATGTCTGAACCTTTCTCTCCTTGACCGGAGACCTAGACTCGTGGGTGAAAAATGTGAGAACTACTGACGCGAGTGTGATTGGGATACTGTCGAATGCGGTAGGAAGGCCTTCATTAGATGCAGGAGTTCTATAAACCCGCCACGTTTAAGTTCTGCAACTGCCTAATATGACCGAAGAAATAGGCAAGCCGCCACGATAGTAAACCCCGCCGAACAAATGCAATTTAGTAGCAATCGTGTAACCACTCAGCCCCCTATCACATGTGGACTACTCACCGAGGATAAACCAAAGCCTGAAACTGAGAGCAAAGATATGTTTGGTAGTATAGTAGAGGGCATAAGGGAGGGCATAGAAGACGGCCATAAAAAAGACCTGGGTCGCAAGAACAATAACCATGAAGTTCACCCCAATTGGCTGCTCCGGGTGAATGCCAGTCAAGGAACCCTGCACCAATGAAAGAAAGCCAAATAAAGTCCCCGAGAATGAGTATAGCCGCGAATAGTTGACGACTAACCGGAGAAAAGCAATTCATTATTGTTAACCCATCGTTCTCACCCTCTCCGGGAGCTAAGCGTTTAATGTTTGGCTGGGAAGTGTTCCCGAACGAAACCTTCATACTATACGTGTAACCTCCATTTCTGGTTCAGGTCCCGCCTGAGTCCCTCGTAATTTTCGTCAGCGGCACTTCTTTCTCATCCTGGCAACTGCGCGTCTGTACAGTCTGCAAATCGTTTCACCGATAGGCTGCTGGGTACAATCGCGGCTGGAGAGAGGAATTCAACCCGTATCGTGTGACAACTGCTACATGCAAATAAAGAGCTATGTAATCAAGCTCGGTGTTCAAGATCCTACCACGATAGAGGGCGAAATGACTGGCCCACGAGTCGAATTAGAAACACTCCGAGCTGCGTACGGCATCTTGCAAGTATCTATATAGGCAAATGAGATCAAATTGGATGCGTAAACCGGCGCTTTACATTCTGTAATAGATTCGGAACCTCATATTTCAAGAAAGATTTGCGGTGAAGCTTGCTTTTCGGTTTGTGAGCGTGGTCTAGCTCCACCCGCTCAAGTCCATCATACATGTACAGCAGAGCTGATCCGAAGCTGGGAACGGGGAACCTATCACTATTTGTCATCGCCAAAATCACCTTGATGCTGTTAGCATTATGCAGGAAGCTGTGGCGACGGCAAAATCTCATCAAGACACTGCTCAGCTCCCGACCAAGCTTTCAAATTACTTAGAAGTCTCCTGGACTCTAGAACCTAAACTTTGAGGCTTCGTTTGCCGAATTTCTACATGTTCTTGGTGCCACTGGGGTTGATAGAGCAAGATTAAACAGCCAGCGGCCAATGTCTGGGCACACGGCACCCCATTCCTCGCATTCTTATCTCAAGGCAAAGTTAAGATAACGGTCACATATTACCAGTAGTTTAACTTCTCAAGAACAAACCGATACCTCGAAACTGCAGACTTAAGCAGGGCCTGCTCTCTGTGTCGGCTGTTCTTGGTATCCCTCAGTCTCCTCATCGGCGAGTTCAGTTGACACAGTAGCCTCTCCCTCCGGCTCCTCGTGAGCGTGGAGCTTCATATTGACAAACATGGCCCACAATCCAAGGTCATACAGGAGTCTCAAAGAGCCGCCCACAACATAGGCGACCCAGAAATGGTTCGATTCGGCCAGTCCACCTGTGACTGATGGGCCAATCGTCGACGCCAGTGTCCTCACAGTGCTGGTGATACCCATGATGGCAGTACGCTCATGGGGCTTTACCGCCGCAGCAATGAATGCCGCGCGGGGAGCTTGATCCATGCTGTTGAGACCGGTGCGAATGAAGAGCAGAATGATAGTGAGAACCAAGCCACTAGGAAGAGGGAAGAAGAGAACAGCAGCAGAGGACGGAATATGGGTAAAGACCATGGTATTAAGGAGACCAATGTGGCGCGCACAAGGTCCAGCGAAGACCGTCGAGACGGTACCGAGAATGTAAGCGGCTGACATGATGCTCCCGAGGGTGGACTTTGATAAATGGAACTTCCCGTCTAGATAGTAGTTGGTCAAGGAGTATGAAACCATGCCATCAGCCACACTGTCGACAGCGAGAAGGAACCAAAGCTTGTACATGACCGACAGAGTGTTAGATGATATTTGGGAGATTTGAACGCTCGCTTGCGAAGCCAGGGCGCTGGACTTGCTAGACGGTTGCTGATCCGCTGGAGTCGCGGTGTTGTAATCCTCGTCGTCCTCTGACCCATCAAGCAGCCCTTGCTCGGACTCATGAGGTGCCTGTTCCTCGCTCACGTGAGAGATCTCAGATTTGTCACTCATCGAGAACGCAAACAGCATGTTTAAGACCCCCATGAGGATATAGACCCAGAATGTCGAATGGTAGGTCTTCAACAAACCCCATCCGTGGGTCTTCTGAAGATTTTCAATATAATGTCCCACTACACCCAAGCCTGCAGCCGATCCAAGGCCGGAGCTTGTGACATACCAAGAGAGCACGTCTGCACGTGTGCTTGGGGTAGTGAGATGAGACAATATCGACTCCTCTATGGCTCGGAACGGTCCGAAATCACCGCCGGTAATGCTCACAACACCAAGTACGGCAGCGAAGAGCAACAACCAAAAGTTCTCAAAATAAGAGAATATAGCGCCAGACAAGGCCATGAAAAACCCGCCGGCGAAGAGGACTCGACGTCGGCCCAGGCCATCGGCCAATAAGGTGATGAGCAGCCCCAGAACAACATCGCCAATGAGGGTCAAGGTCATGAAGACGCCAATCTGGAAATCGGAGAATTTCAGCTCGGAAAAGAACAAGGCAATGATGAGAGAGACTGCTCCAAAGGCGAACATGCGGCAGGTCCGAGCAATGATGACCAGCCAGGCGTCCTTGCCGACGCCCCAGAGAGAGGCGATCCCGGACTCATGGTAGAGCCATTTAATGGTCTTGACGCTTGGGGAAAAGCGACCTCCTTGCAACGCCATGGTCAGATTTATTCCAGCTGCGATATTGCTCCTGGAAGCCGTGAGTTGAGGAAGAGAAAGTGAAAATTTTAACTCCTAGAAGATCGGCCTCAATGAAGAGTCACGGTCGGATTTTCCGCTGATCAGGCGATATCGCCGAGCGAATCCGCCATCGGCAACAAATCGGACTCACCCCGCACAAGTTCAGATGACGAGCTCATCGGAAAAATAACATGATGGAACCGGGATGGATGATCACGTAAGTTGGGAATGGAGACAAACTAGTTATTCCCGGCGGTGTGAATGCAACACCACCTTTTGCTATACTGCGCTATACCACTATCATACTAGGAAAAGATCACTCGCCGCAACTTCACATGACTGGGAAACTTGACTTCAACTATGTAGCAGCACAGGCAACCTCCGGCTTGAGCAGCCTGAGCTCAACATCAAACCCGTCCCCAGACGACTTGCCGGACTTTACTAAGCCAGGGGCAAGAACCAATTCAATAGTGCTCTTCTCATCGGCCTTCTTCTTGCCCGGCTCTAGCTCCATGGTCTCGGGGTCAAAGACGAGCGAAGAGCCATTGTCGATGAACTTCCAGGTAATGAATGCCACCTGCTTGCTGACCTCCTTGTCGATCTCTAAGCTTTGGGTAATGAGGCGCACGAGCTGCTTCTCGATTGCCTCGGGTTTGGATGAAGACAGAGGAGAAATAAAGTTGACCATTTCCTTGGCGTGGTCAGCACAAACCTTCTGCACGTTACTGGCTGCCTCTTTGGGATTTTGGTTGGTGGCCTCGACCAGCAGAGAACTCGTGTTGGCCCTCCACATGTGAAACTTGCGGCTGGCATCGGGTGCGTCTTTTGAGTTACCCTCAATGCCCAGCGACTTCTCTGGTAATATTGTTAGTACCAATATGATTTAGATCTAGTAAGGGGGAAGAGTCAGCAAGGACTTACTGATGAAATCCGACATGTAAAAGACACAGTCCGAAGCTTTCGCTGGGGCCCAGCGATACTGCCCAAAGACCTCGCTCTTTAGGAATCCCCAGAGAAACGCCCGCAGCGCTGCAGACCGGATTTCCGGTGTCTTCAAGTATGTCTCGTAAGCACCATCTGGGAGGTTCAAGTACTTTTTGAGATACTCCAAGAGCTCCTCATTGACGCTGACGTCCTTGATTTGATCCTCAAAATATTGGATGGTAAAATTGCGGATTTCAAACCGCAATTGACTGACTTTCTGAATGAGCTCTTGGTCGGTCAATTGATTGTATCCCTGATTCTGCCGAAGATACCTGTCTAGCTCGCCCGCCGCTTCACGCCATCGCTTGCGCAGGTCCGCAGACTCGTTATTCTTCTTTTCGAGATCAGCCTCAGCCTGGTTTCGAAATGCCCTCTCTTCTTCGAGAGCCTCTTCTAGTTCTTTGACTTTGGCGTCAACCTTCGCTGTAGTAGGAACCTCTGGAGCCACCTCTGGAGTAGCTTCTGGGGCAGTTGTAGGAGTTTCCGTGGTGGGTGAAGCCACATTGTCTGTAGCCACCTCGGCCGTAGGAGCTTTGTCAGAGGCTCCCTGCTCTGTTGTGACTACAATTGGGTCGTTGGACATGGTTGGTTTTTGTGAGTTGGGGTTTTGCAATAAGCGAGCTCAAGGGATTCTAAATCACAGTGGTGCTGTGCAAGTATCCAAAGAATAGTAAGTGAGCAGATTCGCTTGGTTTCGATGACTGATGAAAATGACTGCTGTGGGTTACCCAAGAAATGATGTCAGAAGGAGGCTGGACAAAAGTTCATCAAGAGTATTGCTTCGGAGGCGCCGTGAGCTGCAGGACAATGGACATAAAAATACGCCTGGGTCCATCTTGCGGCACTCTGATGACGATGATGATGGCTAGACTGCCACGTTCCTTGCTCCCAGTGGCATGACATTCACCCTCCGTGGCGTCCTCTTCTTGGTTACTGCCAGCGTGGCTGAGAATGTGCGAAACATTCTTGCTTGCATTGTCATTTATGACGACACGATATGCACAATCAGGATTACTTGCATGAATGGAGCCCCTGAGTAGAGCATCAAGTGGGGGGTATCGCCGTTGGGGGTTGCTGCAACTCATACATATCATCGATTGGATGCCGACGTCCAACGTGTAATGCCCGAGTTCGGGATTCCGTCACAGGACCATTTCTATCCAATCATAGCGGGAAGATTCAACCGAAACCCGGGTGAGAGACTCCCAAGGGTTGTCATGCTTGGGCTGCGCGTTTATACGGGCCTTGTTTTGGGGCTTATGCGGTGCACACGCATTAACGCATTAACCAGGCGACTCTTTGGGGATATTTCCCCCACAGATAGATTCACTTATGACTGTTGATTCGCCATAAGGTCCCTAAGGGTGACCAGGAGAAGTTGCAGTAGCGTGAATCATCCTGTGGGCATTGAAGATGCATCTCGCTTCTATTCTTGGACAGCCTGGGCTGACTATGACATACCAGAATTGCTTCAATGCCGCGTGGCTGTGATGTGATGAAACATTTCACCTCGTGATCATGGAAGGCAGGTTTTGGCATTTCTTGGACTCATTATAATATCAATACAAAATACGAATCTTCCTCTCTGCTTAGAGCCTTTTCGTTAATCATACGACATTGTTAGCGTTGCTTGTTACTGCTGAATTTTCTTACTGATTTCACTGATACTTTGAACGACTTGGATCTCGACAAAATGGATTCGTTGAATGGAAATGAGTACAAAGATGATGCGGGTTACTTGAGGAAGAGCTCCGAAACGCCTGAGCACCAGCGCTGGTCGATGAAGAATCTGATCAGCAAGATCAAGAAGAAGAATGACACAGATCTTGAAGACTTCATGGTCATCGGTATCGACTTTGGAACAACGTAAGTCTCGACTCGAGTGTATTCCTAGTCCAAGTCCCAACTAACGCTTACGGAACCAGATACTCGGGAGCAGCATGGGCTACCGTGGCAGATTTCGAGTCTGAAGAGATCAACCTCATCACCAACTGGCCAGGAATCGGAGGTGAAGAGGGAAAGGCTCCCACCGAGCTGTTCTATGAACATGGCGACGTGATGTGGGGATATGGAATTCCTGCTGACGCCGACCCAGTTCGCTGGTTCAAGTTACTCCTCTTGCAGGAGGAAGACCTGGCGCCCGAGCTCCGACAGTCCGACTTTGTGCTGCGTGCGCGGAAGATGTTGAGAGAGAATAACAAGACCGCCACTGACCTCATTGCCGACTACCTCAAGGCTTTGTGGGCTCATATCCTCAACTCCATCAAGAAGGCCCGGAGCAAGACTGTCATTGAGGCTCTCAGATTCCATGTTGTCATTACGGTCCCTGCCATATGGAAGGATTATGCCCGTACGGCTATGGAGGAAGCGGCAAAGAAGGCCGGTATTCTTGACGATCGTCCTGCCGGTAGCACTACGCTGGCCTTTGCCCCCGAGCCTGAGGCTGCAGCCTTGGCTACGCTTTGCGAAAAGGGCCGTGTAGCTAAGAAGGACGATGTGTTCGTGATTTGCGATGCTGGCGGTGGTACAGTGGTAAGTGGAAAAAGATATTAGAGTTCAGCTTTTCTACTTCAAGGCAGTTCTAATTGTGACCAATGAAGGACCTTATCAGCTACCGAGTGGGAGGGTTGGAGCCCATTGAACTCCATGAGGCGGTACTGGGTTCAGGTAAGCAGCCGAAGTGAGAGCTGTTCCTGCTCCTGACTGATAAATTTTCCCAGGTGGCTTGTGCGGCGGTATCTTCATTGATGAGGCCTTCGAGAGTATCTGCAAGGCTCGGTTGGGCCGGCAGTGGAGTAATCTCAGCCAGACTGGTGTCAAAGAACTCATGAAAGACCAGTGGGAGTACGGCATCAAGCCTCAATTTACTCCTGAAGACAAGAACAAGGAGTACATTGTTGCTATCCCAGCCGAGGCTTTCAAGAATGGTGCTGAACAGAATGATCTGGAGCGAAAGCCCGTAATTAAGAACGGTCGAATTCACTTCACCAGGTGAGAACGTCCTTGTGGGCACAAAATTATGAAATCTTCTAACCCAAAGCACAGCGAGGACATCGAGAAGGCATTCGCCGCTGTTTTCGCTGACATTGTCAAGTTGATTGATGGTCAAATTAGCAAGGCCAAGGAGAACAACATGTCTGTCAAAGTAAGTGATGATACTGAGGTCATGAACTCGAAGGTCAATGCTCTAACAACGATCGAAGGGAATCATCCTTGTCGGAGGCCTTGGATCAAGTCCATATTTGTACGAGTACCTCTCCGAGAAATATGGAGGCAACGAAATCGACGTTCTACAGTCCGCTGGTATCCGACCGTAAGTGAACAATGCATAATATCACGCTCCTTTAAGAGTCCCAATTCTGACGGCAAATGACCTTTCTAGACGCACCGCTATCTGTCGCGGAGCCATCTTCAAGGGATTTCTGGATGCACCAAGCGGCAAGCTCAGTAGCGCCATGACGGCAGCCGGGAAACCTCTGCAAATGCCTGTCCGTGTCGTCTCTACTATCGCTAGACAAAGTTTAGGTGTTGAGTTCACGCCCCTCTTCGAGGAAGGTGTGCACCCCGCCGAAGACAAGTACTGGGATAAGGACGAGGGCGTTTGGAGGGCTGGTAAGCAGATGCTGTGGTATCTAAAGAAGGTAAGCCAAAAACCGGCGAACGTGTGAAGGCATAAACCAACCTAACCATCTACTTGCAGGGTGAGAATGTTTCAAAGAAGGAACCTGTCAAAAACACGTTCTATCGCACCTTTGCCAAGGCTGAGGACTTCAAGGATACCGTTACCGAGACCGTCCAACAATGCGAAGAGGATGTGCCGCCAACTCGGCTTGGACCTAGCATCAAAGAACTGTGCAAGATCCACTGCCGACTTGACGATATTCCCTTCGAATCTCTTGACGACTACAAGGGTGAAAACAACCAAGATTTGAAGAGATACATGTATGACATCGAAATGGTGCCATCTGGAGCTTCGAATATCTTCGCGGTCTATCACCAGGGAACAAAGATGGGGTCCCATGATGCAAGCGTCGAATATACTAAGCACTAAGCTCACTGAGACAGACGAAGCTTTGCTTGTTTGTATAGTAGCATAGTAGAGGACAAATAGTGGAAAATTGAGCGTTAACAAACTAATCTAAGGCTCATAGCTCGGGTATCTTATGAGGTAGAATAAAGTTTCTGAAATTTTTGGTTCACGCTTTGTACCCAGTGATCACAACAGAGAAGAACTGGCCGCGTCACACCAGCCCTTATGCGTGAATTGCTATCTATTGTTGTGAAGGATCATAAGTGTTGCACATATGCTGGTAATAACATGAGCAAGGTTTGCGCCGAGGTCGCACATAGAGGCCTCAACCGTGGGTAATTGCCACAAAAAAGAGGGCAAAAATTCAGGGCCCCGGCCAACAAGCCAAGTTCAAGTGGCAAATAAATTAAAAGAAGTGCCAGAATCAAAATTGCCAGCTGCCAGCCTTAGATCCTACCAAGCCTTGACCAAGCCTTGCTGCGAAGACCGTTGTGACATCAGCCGTTAGGGCGCTTTACCCGAAAGAGGTGCATATACGGCCTCAACACTAACCCTAAAGAGACGCATATACGGTGCTGACAGGATCAAGCGAGGGTTGAGGGCACCGAGAGGGTAAGGTTCTGGGGACTCAACCCCAAAAGTCCAAGGAGTGCAAATTCTTATAGATATAAATTGAAGTCCATTGGAAACCTTTGGGTCGTTTGAACATTACCCTCACGTCGCCTGACCCTGACTCTGCTCGTACATTTATATCATATATTTATACTTTTGACAAAAGATGTCCTGCCAAGAAAAGCCAATCATCATTATTGTTCACGGGGCATGGCACCAGCCGCTTCACTATGCCAATCTTCTCAATTCGCTCCAAACAAAGGGGTACACTGTTCAGGTTCCAGCCCTCGCTACGGCAGGTTGGGATCAAAGCGTATCTCAGAAGAATGTCTCTGATGATGTGACCATTTTAAAGAACACCATGAAAGAATATCTGCAAGCTGGGAAGGAGCTTGTGGTAGTGTGTCATAGTTTCGGTGGCATCTCCGGAACGGCCAGCGTGGTCGGAGAAACTGTTCCAGAGAGACAGGCCCGAGGAGACGCTGGAGGAGTCAAGGCGGTTGTCTTCCTCGCAGCTTTCGCTCCTCCTTCAGCAGGCTTGAGTCTTGTCGATATCATTGGTATTAAAGATGAGTCGCAACAGCCAGACTGGTGGACGCCTACTGTGAGTAATGAAAGCCTCCCTCACGGTTGAAAGCAATTCACTCACTGTTTACGTAGAATGGATTGAGCTTATTGGAACCCAAGGCATCGGATCTCTTGTACTCTGGGCTCGATGATGAGATTGCCAGAGTGAATTTCCATGCTACAGCGCCCCAGAGTCTTCAGAGCTTCCAGAGTAAGAGCATTAATGCATCATCGGATATTGCTGTCCCAAAAACGTATGTCGTCACGCAGAAAGACGCCATTATCCCCTCAGAAGGCCAAAAGGCTATGGCGAACGCGGCCGGTGCAAACGTCATCGAATTGGCATATGGCCACAGCCCGTTTTTGAGCGCTGAGGGGGCATCGAGCATTTTGAATATCATTGAGCAAGCATCAGTCTCTGAATAAGGGCGGATAAGAGTTGAAGGAAGAAATGCGGAACGAAATCAACATTTGCCCAAACCTATTCCCAGTTGTTCGCAGCGAATCACGAGGGCATAAATACTTATTCTAGAATATTGGCTTCCTCAAGTCAGACAATATAGTATCCCAAACCTGCCGTGCAATCTCTTCTTGCAAATCTGGCCTGGCCTGAGGCCATGTGATGTTGGCTAAAGAGGCCCGTGCATCCATCCACTCTAGGACTTGATATGTGCAAGCCCATCTCCTTATTTTCTTATAAAACCACGAGCGTATTTCTTCAATCTGCTGATCAGAGCCCTCTCCAGGATGAGTTGCGAGAGCAAAAGAGGCGGTATAAAGCATCCAGAATGGAAGCTCACTTGCCCTCTTGGATTGTGTATTCCAATCATCCTTAAGCTCTGGCGCGTATTGGACGAGTGTTTCTAGCATCCTCAAGAATAACCGTCGATCAATTGGTTGACCTGAGTTCCAGAGAAGGAGAACATTGTTCAGGTATAGCGCTACAGATGCAGCTAAGGCCCGCCACGAAGCCAACAGGGTCCCTTCTAAAGCCTCGTCTGCAGTCGGGAGGGTTGACGAGACGTGAGCTTCCGTGAATGCGAATAGTAAGCAGCTTAAGTTCTTGCAACCGGTGCAGGTAGTTGGATCTTGGCTATCACAGATAGTTGTCTCGTTGGCATATGAGGGGTCATGTACAACATGAGGTGCACCGTCGTTAACTCGTCGCTTTCTAACTGCTTCGGTTAGTCCCCTCAACGCGTCAATGACTTTGACGGCCATGATAGGGTGAGTGATGAGCGGCCGGTTCTCCTGCAGGTAGAAAGGGATCTGGCGAAGTGCAACGAGATTTTCTGACATTCCGGTGAAGGAACGCTGCCAAATGCTGGCATAATTGCTATCGCCGGCTAGAGTATGTGTGAGGCGACTTTTTACGGCAGAGGCAAAATGATGTGCCCTAGAAGATGATGGTAAGCCTCCCTATACAAGATCTGTGGTGGAAATCGACGTATGTACACAAGTATTAGCCGCTCAAGAGCCTCTTCCTGCTCAGGAGAGTCTGGTCTTATGTTACCGGGGCACGTGTTTTCTTGTCGCATCTCAATAAGAGATAAGAGACCTGAGAGGTGAGCCTCGGCCACGGGATAGTTTCCAACGCAGCTCTACACGAATTAGTCAAAACTTTCTTGGTCTTAAAAGCGATACTAACCTCAGCAATAGAGAGGATGGCAATCAACTTCAGCTGTTTACTAGTGATCAACTTTAGATCCCCGAGGAGCCAGGAATTGACAAGCTGAATTAGCTGTTGTTTGTGGAAGAGGACAGATTTTTCAAATTTCCGAAAAGCTCCCACTTTCCACATGTAGTGCAAACCTGCGAGCATTAATGTACTTCTAAAGTAGGTGGGCTCGGCCATCGTAAGAGCGACACTGCGTGATGAGAATCAGAGAATAGTGAGACATGAGGGCAGGGATCGGCAAGCTGCACTCACCAATCATGCTCTGGTCGCTCTTGGATTTGTACTGTCTCGAGAAGTACAGTTCGGTTTGCCGTCGCTTGCGAGGCGGCGTTATCGAGGAAGGTCTCGGCCCCGAGGACTGGCAAGGAATTCTCAGACACGGTCTCAGATTTGAATATTATACATGCCTTCGTACAGTAATGGAGGAGCTCTTGTGACTTGAACGGCATTTGTATCGGCAATGCCTCGAATGGATCGAGTTTATTGATGCCAACCCTCCATACAGTCAGGCCGGGTGCGTTCATGTGACACCATTTCTCCTCGTGCTGTGAAAGAGCTGGTGTGGGATAGGCGCAGAGGGAACCGGTCGCCGTACATTTGGTACTATTTGATGGCATCGATCAGAGGGGAGCTTGACGTCACGGTGGTTAAATGATGAAGCTCACCATGAGGGCCGGAGCTCGTCGCATCGCACGTGTCTTTTCTTGCAAGCGAGGCATCCAGCCCTGCTTCGGCTATGATGCTGTCGTCGTCTGGGCTCATGATGGTGCTGCATGGCAATTGTGCCTGTCATGCGACTGTGTTGAGGCCGGAGTGGAGAGGTTCAGGCGAGGTCCGTATTGAATTAATCTTATATTTAGCTAGCTTAATTTAGCTTGTTTATTGCTTACGGTGAAACCGCGTCTCGTATACCTCACGCGTACTTTTATAGGAAAGATTCTGAGTGCGATTGAAATCTAGGTAGGCATATTGTTTATTATATTAATTTAAGTAGTTACTTTAATTAAGCTTAAAGCTTTTTAAATACTAATTAACTTAATAAGTACTACTAGCCCTTTAGCTAAAGTATTTATATTAATATATTTATAGCTTTTAATTACATAAAATAATAATATAAAGATACTTTCTTTTAAAAGTAAATACTTAGGAGCTACTTAAATATATAATTACTATATAGCTATCTTTTATTAAGAGAATTAAGTATTATAGATTATAATAGTTAGTAGACTTACACTAGATAGGGGTCTAGGGTAAGTTAAAGGTATAACTAATTAGAGTATTATTCTAAGAGGGTAATTAGATTATCTTAGTACTATATAAGTTACTATTAATATATAAGCACTAAGAAGCTAATTTTAATAAAAGTAATAGTAATTATATTAATAACTATTTAAAAGAATATTTCTATTTAAGAAATAAATATATATATATACTAAGTAGCTTATATAAGCTTATTAGTAATTTAAAGTAAGTTTATCTCTAAATTATAGAGGCTTACTAGTAATCTAAAGTAATTTATTCTTAATTAGCTTAAGATAAGAGAAAAAGTAGAGTATAATATATAATTCTTTATAGTATATATATAATAGTTAGTAGACTTATACTAAATAGAGGTCTAAGGTAGATTAGGGATATAACTAATTAGAGTATTATTCTAAGAGGGTAATTAAGTTATCTTAATACTATATAAGTTATTATTAATATATAAGTATTAAGAAGCTAGTTTTAATAAAGATAATAGTAATTATATTAATAACTATTTAAAAGAGTATTTCTATTTAGAAAATAAATATATATATATAGTAAGGTTATTACTATCTTATTATTAAGCTATTATTTTACTAAAGTAATAAGTTAATTTTATTAATCCTTAAAGTAAAGCTTATTAATCTACTTTATATATAACTTCCTATAGCTTAATAAAGGCCTTTATTTATAATATAATACCTCCTCCTTATTAGTCTTATTCTTAAAGCTAACTTATTATACCTTATTATTCCTAATATATACTTAGCTTTATTTTTTATTTATATTATATATATATTAATAAGATATTTAGCTATATTTCTAAATAAAAGAAATCTAACTTAGTATATAAATATACTTAGAAATCTAAGTATATTCTTACTTATAGTTTTAAGGTTATATCTTATACTAAGTATATAAAAAGAGATATAAATTATTTTATTATCTTAAGTTTAAATTATTATATTATATATATTTATATTAATTACTTATATAATAGTATTTATTCCTTAATATCTTTAAGTATATTACTTTTTTCCTTTATTCTTTTATATATATTAACTTATCTATAGTTAAGAAGATTAATAAGGAGCTATTATATTTAGAGGATAAAAAGTTAAAAGTTAAAGTAAAATTAACTATAGTATTTATATAAATTTTATATTTATAGAAAATATAAAAATAATTTTATAAAAAAGGTATAAAAATATTAAAAAAGAGGTTAAATAATATAGAGGAATTAAAAGAGAAAGAGTAAAAGGAAGTAGAGAAGAAAAGTTATTAAGAAAAGCTAAAGTAAATATAAGCTTAAGAAGTTAAATTTATATTCTAAGTTTAAACTTTATATACTATATAAATTATTAATTTTTCTAGCTTTACTTTTAACCTTTCTATAAAGGACCTCTTTAGTAATATTATTTAAAGTAAGGTTATTAATCCTTCTTCTTCTAGTAAAACTAATATATTAAATATTAATAGTTTTTTAAATATTTAATAAGTTCTTATATATTATTATTTTATTATAACCCTTTTATTTTATTAAGTAGAATATTTATTTATTTTTAACTTCTTTCTTTAAGATTTTCTTTAATTTAAATTCTTTTTTATAGACTTTAATTAAGTAATCTTAATTTAATATATTTTTTAATACTTTTTTAAATAATAAAATATAAAAAATTAAGTAAATATATATTATTTTTAATAATAATAATTTATAATTAATATTTAATTTTTATTTTTAATTTTAAATAATCTAAGTTTTTTATAATTTAATTTATTACTTAGCTTTATTATTATAATATTTTTTTAAAGTAAGTAAACTTTATCTCCCTCCTTTAAGATTAATCTCTTTAATTTTATTTTATTATAATATTTCTTTATTCTTTATTATATAAACCTTAATTTAATTTATATTTCTATATATAATAAGTATAGTATTTCTTTTATAAGTATAATAATAAGTATTATTAATTTATTAAATTTTAATTTACTTAAAAACTCTAGTTTATAACTATAGTTTATATATATTAATAATAATTAAGTTAACTTTTATACTATATTATTATATATAATTTATATTATAAGTAATAGTTATATTTAATTATTTTATTTATAATTAATATATATTTATAAGTATTATTTTAATATTTAATTTAAGTATTTTATTTATTTATTACTTTATAAGTAATAAGTAATTAAAAGTTTATACTTTATATCTATTTATACTATAAGTAATTACTAAAACTTAAAAGTAAATATTATTCCTTTATTTAATATTATTTTATTAAGTAACTTATAGTTTATAATTATATATTATAGAACTTAATATATAAAATCTTTTATAAAGCTTACTTCTTTATATAGTATAAAGTACTTATACTTTATAAGTTTATTAATAACTATTAGAATACTATTATACTTTATTTTAGTTATTAATTCTCTAAATAGTAATAATTTAATAATATAATTAAAGGATATTAATTACTATAATTATTTTAGTATTAAGATTAATTTAAGTTCTTTATATAATTTATATTATATTAATTTAATTTATATTATATTAATTTAATTTATATATAAGTATTATACTTTAAAACTATAGTTTATACTTCTTTTTATAAATTAAAGTAATTATAATATTATTTAATTTTATTAAAGGTTTTCTTAACTCTTTAATATCCTATAAATAAATACTTATAAATTTCTTTAATAAGTATTATTCTTACTTCTTACTATAGTTTCTTTAAACTTAAAATAGTATTTATTTAGACTTTAGTATATACTATTTCCTTAAATATAGCTCTTAAGGTTTTTTATATTAAATATCTATTATTATTAATTAAGAATAGCTACCTATTTATCTTTAGAATTATTTATTTATATTTAGATTTTTAGCTAAAGGTATTAACTCTTTTATTTTTTAATCCCTTTTAATATATAATCTTATAATTAAATTTTAATAAATATTTAATATAGTATATTTATCTTCTATTAAATTATTATATTATAGTAAAATATTAAATATTCTTATAATTTATATAAACCTTTACTTTATATTATATTCCTAAATAATAATATTTAAATTCCTTAAATATATATATAATAACTATAAACTCCTTATTATAAATAAAGTAATTAAGTTTTATTTTATATAGTTTCTTTAAGAAGAATACTATAAGGTATAATATTTTATTATTATCTTTTTAATTAAGTTATATACTAATTATAAAGTTTAATATATTAATCTTAAGTTCTACTTCCTTTATAAAGTTAAATATTTATAATATAAATTCTAAAAGAATTTAATTCTTTATTTTATTAAATACTTTTATTATTTTATACTTTATTAAAATTTTATTCCTTTTTTTATAATATTATATAAAGATATAATAATCTTTCTATAATCTTTAATAAATCTTTAATAATAGTTAATAAATCTAAGAAAGGCTTATACTTCTTTAATAATATTTAGTACTTCTTAATCTTTAATTATAATAATCTTATCTTTCTTTATTTAGATTTTATTTAATTAAATAATATATCTTAAAAAGTTAATTTCTTATATATAAAAATAGCTTTCTTTAATTTTATTAAAAGTTTTACTTTTTCTAATTTTTTTAAGACTTAGTATATATATTCCTTATAAGTTTTTAAGTTATTAAAAAATATTAAAATATTATTAAATTAAATAATTATAAAGATATTAAGATACTTTTAAAATACTTAATTAATTATTTATTAAAATATTATAAATATATTATTAATTTAAAAGGTATTATAAAATACTTATATAAATTAAACTTTATTTTAAAAGCTATTTTTATTTATCTCTCTTTTTAACTTATATTAAGTTATAAGCTCCTTTAAGGTTTAATATAGTAAATTACTATTTACCTTATAATTAATCTTTAAGTTCTATAATTAATAATAATAATATTTTATCTTTATATATAATCTTATTAAGTTATTAATAATTTATAATAAGTTATAATTTCCTATTTTTCTTTAATATAAATATTATAAAGTATTTTATAAATAAAGTTAATAATTATATATAGTCTTTTATTAATATATTATTAATATATTTATAAAGTATTTATAATTAAGGTTCTATAAGGTTATATAGCTTATAAAAAGCTAATTCTCCTTTATTAATAATAAAGATCTTATAATTTTATTAATTATATTTTAATAGCTTAATATTAAAAGTCTTTTTAAATAGTTTCTTATAAGTATAATACTCCTAAGGAATATAGTTTATTTATTTATCCTTTAATATTACTTTTATTATCTATTTATTATAGGTTTCCTTATCCTATAAGTAATTCTTAGTATTATACTTTTTCTTTAAAAGTTAATTATTTATATTTAATCTATAAAGTTTATTTTATTATATTTTTTATTAATATTTATAAAAATTACTTCTTTTTATTATTACTTCTCTTTATCTTTATAATATTAACTTTTAAATTTAAGTATAAGTTTTATATTTTATTTCTATATTTAAGTTAATATTC